AATAGGACCCGCATCCATGTGTCAGGGTCCCACATGTTTTCAGGGGAGACCCACAGAGCCAAATTAGTGGCTTCATCCCAAGTGTTCCATATCTTTTGTTTTCACTTTCAACCTTCTGGTTTTAAAGAGCACCTTGAGTGCTGCCGTTTGTGGTTTCCTGCATTGTGGTGGTAAATTGCCCATTGTGGGAGGGTCTCACAAAGGGGAATTTTCCACAAAAGTAGAAGACGAGGGTGACTACCAAGAGGGCACAAAGGAAGCAAAGAAACACTGTGAGCCACTTGGATGTAAACTGCCCCGACATATAAAGGTGTATCGGATCCAAATGTCTTGTGCTCAGTGAGGGACTTCTGGAGGCCATGACACCTCCAGCCGTATGCTCACACGGTGTCTCTGGGACAGGCAACACGGTGACCCGAAGCCTGGGCTCTGAGTTCGGGGTGGATCAGCCCTTATGCAAACTCACCGGGATGAGCCGAGAGGGGGGAGGTGCCGACGTGGGCTTCGGGATCACGTGGCGGAGTGTGCCTCCCTGATCTAACAAGCTAGTCCAACAATAAAGATGACAGGCAGGGTGGAGGGGACAGAGGAGGGGGCTACTCGTTTACCCTCAAGCAGCCAAAGAAACAGACAAATCCAGGGGCCTACTTACCAAATGAACCGAGGTTCTTGGTGTCACCAACACCGAGGGCAGGAGTCCCTGTTTGGGTGCCAAGTGTAGTGGGTTCGCCTCAGGCCAGCTGTGAAGACCCTAAACTGGATTGGGTCCCCTGCCAATAAGGGGGGCAAGAGCCATGGTGTCACGACACACAGACCCCGGGAGTTAGGTAGAAGCAAGCACTAGGCAAGGTGCTGCAGGCTCATTTATTGCAGGGGGAGGCAGGCCTTATATTTCCCTTTTCTCCACCCCCAAGTCCTTTTAGTCAGTGTATCATTTTCTGTTTGGTCCACGCCATGCAGTCTGTCAGCAGTCACTGTGCTCGTGAGCAGGGTATGGAGGCGTGGGCTCCTTTTGGCAGGCTATTTGCAGACCAAGAAGTGAAGTGAATTCTCGCTGAATCCCAGGGCTTTGGGTCCATGCCATCTTTGGAGGTGTCCTGCTACACATGCACACACATACATATGCACACAGCACACATACATGTATATACACATATTCGCATACACACACATGCATGCACAACCACACCCATGCATGCACACCAAGCACACATACATACACACGCACGCACAACCACACATACATATGCACACATATGTACACATGTGCACATACATGCACACTGAGCACACATACATGCACACATACACACACAGAGGAACAAGCACAGGGCCCATTGCTTTGGGAACCCTCCTTCCTGGTTTCTGTGACTTGTTTTCTTGTCATATTGCTCTTGTTAGCTGGGACAGTTGTTTCTTTCCACAAGTTCTGCCTTTTCTGGCCTCTCTCTCATCTTCTCTCGTTGTTTCCTACCTTTTGTTAGGGGATGGGTACTCCTTTCTTATTATGTCTGTTCTCTCTGGCTGTTTAAAGATATTTTCTCACCTGTAAATTTAGAAGGTTCATTGTATTGTATCTTTAGTGAAGATTCTGTGGACTGATTTTTCAGTCTCAAATCTCTAGATTTGTATCTTTGACTAAATTTGGTAATTTTCAGCTATTCTTTGAATACTTTTCAAATCCTTTTGGCCTTTCCCCCTGTTTGGACATTAAAAAACATAATAGTAAGGTGTTTTTTTGCTGTCCTATTGCTACTGAATTTTGTTTTTTGCTGTATGTGTTTTTTCCTCCGAATTTTAGGTTTTATAATTTCAAACCATCTGTTCTCAAGCTTGATAATGCTCTTCTTTTTCTATACTGCTGAGTCCTTCTAGGACTTTACATTATTCATTTGTATATATTATATTTATTTCATGTTTATGAACCTTTTTTCCCCTTTGAGATTTTAAATTCTTTTGTTGGTTTTGAGAGAATTTGTAAAGTTTTTTGAAATTAAAAAAATTTTTTTTACTCCATTTTATTTATTTGTATGTGTGAATGAGTATGTCTATGTATGGTTATGTGTGTGTGTGGGGGGGGTAAGTGTGCCATGTGTGTATGTGTAGGTCAGAGGACAACTTGTAGGAATTGGTTCCTCTTATCCAATCATGTGTGTCCTGGGGATCAAACTCAGGCCATTACCTGCTGAGCTATGTTTCCAGCCAGACCTAGTTTTAAAATATTTTCATTATGAGCTGGGTGTGGTGGTGCACACCTTTAATCCCAGCACTTGGGAGGCAGAGGCAGGCGGATCTCTGTGAGTTCAAGACCAGTCTGGTCTACATAGTGAGTTCCAGGACAGCTGGGGCTACAGGGAGACCCTGTCTCAAAAAGACCAAAAAAATTTTTATTATGATGGTTGCTTTATGATGCTTGTTAGATTACCCCAGCATTGATTCATGCCAGTGTTGGCATCCATAGATTGCTTTTTATTAATGTTGTGATTTTCATGGTTCTTAACTTTGATGATATTTGGTTATATTCTGAATATTCTGAGGTTTGAGTCTTTCCTCTGTATTTTCAGTGTGGGGTGGGGAGGGGTTGCTGCTGGTTGTTGGTGGGGGAATCAGGTCACTGCCTGTGTCTGTTTGGGAATGGAAGATCCCTGCCTTCTTGGAATGGGAGAGAGGCCTGCCTTTGCTGGGAAGGAAGTAGGGTCAGTCACCCTGAGTCTAGGGACTTGGGCTTTATCTTCATTGGGGTGAGAGGCAATGCCCACACCCTAACTGGGGAACTTGGGTGGGGGGGCGCAGGGAA